TTCTATCATTTTATCATTCAATGAGGAAGTATCTTTTTCTTTTCACATTTAGTTAGTAACAACTGGAGACACATTGTAGCATTATTTTAGATTGATATATATATATTATAATTTGGTGCAAACTGAAAATCGAATTAGTTAAATTTGATTTGATCCACAATAACCAAACCAATCAAATAGAATATTTAAAAATATAAATTAAGAAAATGTAATTATGAATAGGTATTAGATTATTATTGTTTTCTAATTAAGTTGGTTGATTATTTGTTGATAAATAATTATGATATCTACAGCTAGTAATAGAATGGAGAGAAATGAGTTTATATACAATAGACTTGCTGAGTGTTTGGTCAAGAAAGAGAGAAGTAAAAAAGAAGATTAAAGAAGATAAAAAGAAAAGTAAAGCGTCGTAATTGGGCACTTATTATATTCATCTTTATCCTTGTCTCTTTTGCTTTAAAAAGATACTTAATTTTCACTGTTCTGGTCTCCACTTTCCCTACTTGGTTGACCACTCCCAAATCCCAATATTAGCATGTACTAAAATTTTATTCATATATAATTACTATGGTTTTGGGCTACCCAGATGTTTTTTTCTTTCTCTTTATTCACAAACATCTGATTCGTCTCCTTCTTCTTTCATTATCGTCCAAAATATAAAGCTTTACATACAACTCTACCCCCTCCGTACTACTAAAAATATTTAAATACAGATTTTAACAAAAATAAATTAAAATTTATGTACAAGGAACGTGGACATAACATAAAAATAAAAATAGACTCTCATTACACCTACCTACTTGTAATATATCATTTGATTTTCATCATCATTTTCCATGCAGCCAACTTTCCTTCCTAATTTTCTCTCACAACTTTCCCTTTTCTGATTATTTCCTACTCGATTCCGTCGATTTTTCATGACATGGATCGCTCACTGATCTTGGTAAAACTGATGCCTCAGACTCTGCCAAATCAAAATCAAAAAAAAAATTCAAAAAAATATTTTAATTAATTAAAATATATTACTATTTCCATTTTGTTTATACCTCGAGACGAATTGAAGGATCTCTTGCAGTGCAAAATGGCGCCTTGGATCCCATCCTGCTGCTGCAGCAGCGAATCGTCGCGCCTCCTTGACACAACCGGTGCCGACGGAGCCGCCGCTACAGCTGCAGATGAAGCCGATCGACTTTTCCCCAAATGTTTGCACACCACCCTCAGTCCTGCCGGAATATTTCCCTGTTTCTGACTTCTCACTTGACTCTCCCCCTTCTCCCCCTCCGATTCCCCCTTCTCCCCTCCTGATTTCCCCACAGATGATGATGAAGACAATGATGTTGTGCCAGACCCGAAGCTTAACTGGCCAGAGAACCTCAATTTCTCGCCGTACCTCCTCGAAACGCGAACGTATAACGGCTTCATTTTCTTCAGATACTTGTGCATCACATCCTTCGAGAACCGCTTCTCGTCGGAGACTGGTTCCTCCCCGTTCTGTTTCTGCTTGTTTGTGGAATTTCTAGAGCTGCTGTCTCTGGTGAATAGGGACACTATAGGTACCTCCTCCACCTTGAACTTCACGGTGAACAAATTACGCTGATGTTTGTTTGCCTCTCCTCCCTTTTTGGGAGTGTCGCCGGCGCCGGCAGCCTCTGTTTTGTCGTTTCCGGTTTGTGGCGGCTTCGATTTCTTGAAACCCAACATGAAGACCCGAAACTTGGTGGCGGATTTCAACAGCGAAACAGGGAACTGAGGCTTGGTGCTTAAGTCCGCAGCATTCAACGAGGGCTCAATAGGAACCAGTCTACCTTTAAAGAACAGGTCATCTGAAGGGGAAAGGGGAAGATTGGAGTCCGCACGGTCGTTGCTGGAGCCGGATGAAAGCGTGAAGTTAAACTCGCGTTCGTCGTCCTGTGTAGCGTCGGATTCGACATCTTCCTCACTGACATCGTCTTCTTCCTGTTTGTTGTTCTTGATTTCATCTCCCTCCTCTTCGTCTTCGTCGGGAACGGCAAACTCCAGGTCAAAAAAGGGGCCGTCGTCGTCGTCTCCATCTTCGGCGTCGGTTTCCATTTCATGTTCAGTGACGGCAGTGACTATAGTGGTGGTCGCAGAGGGTGGCGCAGTGCAAGTTCGGAGGTTAGAAGCGGCATTATCAGCGGAAAGGGGAGCGCCGCCACCGCCTCGCCAGTACTTGAGCAAGCTAAAAGATTCCATGGTAGGGAGAGCCAGAATAGAGAATGGAGAGGTATGGGTGATGGGTGGCTTAGGGTAAAAAGGAGAGGAGAGAGGAGAAACTTAAAAAGGGAAGGATAGTTTAGAGAGGCGTAGAGGAGTAAATGGTGGTGGGGGAAGGTGGCAGTAAGAGAGTACTGAAAATGGGAAAAAGCTTTTTTGGCAGGGAGATGGAGAGAGAGAAGCTTTAAATTTATATAATGTTTGGTAAACGTGGGTGCAGGTTACAGTCATGTGAGAGCGCAGGGTGAGAGTGAGTAGAAGACAAAGAGTGTAGGGATAAGAGTGTATCAATCTACATCTACTGGATACCAATACAATAATAATAATTCATTATTAACTAGTTTTTATTATATTTGACTTCATTATTAATTTGGTTAATGAAGTTAGATAATTATTACAATAGAGATATTGGGCGAGACAAGAAAATATATCATTGAAGTTACCCATATGGTCTAATTTTTTAATTATATTACTACACAAATTTATGCTTTTTAAATTCTAAAAATTCAATTTCTTGATCATGAAAATTCAATCCTCCCCTTCAAACATAAAAATATCAAAATTAATATTTTACCATCAAATAATTAATATATAAGTGGCCAATATGTTTAATACTTGTTTTTCTTTTTTACTTGGACGGTTAAAAATTAAAAGTATAATCACACACTAAAAACTAAAAGTTCTTTTGTAGTTTGAAGAATAATTTGTTTTTTTTTTATTAAAAATAATATTAGAAGCTAAAAAAATGGAAACTTTAAAAATAAATAAATAAATTGTGACATAGAAAGTAACAATATTTTTAAGTGAGTATATTAAATATAAAATTAATAAATTAAATATTTAAAAAAAAAAACATAATAATATTGATTCATTATTACTACTTTAATAAATGTCATAACTTATTAAATAATATTTATTTTGTTGGTGCATATTTTTTTTCTCTTTTTGGCATGTATGGAACTTAATATTATATATCTTTACTTTTAAGGATAATATTTATATATTTTAAAGATAAAGTTATTTAATTATTAAATGTGATTTCCTTAATTGTAAATTAATATTAAACCGTTGGATGAGACACACCAAGTTTACGCAACACAGACATATGAGAATTGAGATTTCTTGGCAGACGGAAGTCAAAATTTCTTTTTCTTTTTTTCTTAAAAAAAAAAAATTAATTAATTTAGCTATGATGGAGTAATTTTCTTTTTGAAATCTCTAAAATAAAATAAATTTATTTTCACTTATATAATTATTTCAAAATTTCAAATAAAATTTTTAATTATTAAACTTAAAATATTCATCAATTCAATGCTTCAACACTTTACGACTACGCACAAAACTTTTTGTTTCAGATATTGTGAAAGGAAAATTATTAAATTTTCTGAATTAAATTTAATCTATAAATCAAAAACTTAAATTTCAACCCTTTTTTTAAAATAATAATAATAATAATAATAATAATCCTACATTCGTATAATAATGTGTTAAGGATAGAATATAAGTTTTAATAATTAAATAAAAATAATATAAATATTATTTTGTATAAAAAAGATTTTAAAAATTACCATTATTTAATTTTTGGTGAAAAATTTATAAGATGAATGAGTTGTATAAAAATAAATAAATAAGTGATCAAAAAATCGTACTTTACACAATTTAGAGTTTGTATTCATATAAACCTTCAATTGATAGTAATAAATTAATGATCATAATTTAATATAATATAAAATGCGAACTACCATATGAACAATGTGGCTTGTCATTGTTAAATGATGATATCACATTGCCGTTAGTAATTTTTTTGTTATTATTGTTGGTTACTTTTTAATTATTATTATTATACATTATATTGAATGCCAATATTTGTTATTGGATATTAATAATCATTTTATCATATATAGATTAGATCACTTTTATAAATTGAAGATTGTAACACCCAACTATTTTTATTTTTATTATTTATTTTATTTCATTTTTATTGATTCTATATAAATATAAAATATGTATTAATTAAATTAAATTTAATTTAATTTATTTTAATAAATAATAATAATAATAATTGTAACAACCCCGTAAATATTAAAATGAAATGAGTAATTAAATATATCAAATGCGGAAGCGAGATCAAACTTTCAGTTAACATCCTTTACACGAAAAACCAAAAACGTACTTAAAATATAAAAGATTAAACTAACTAAGAGAGAAACTCGAAAATAAAACTATGAGTATGACTACAGAGTCTCTAGATTCACTCCCTATTTAATCGCGATTGGACAGTCCATATTAAAAGCGATAGATGACTTAGATCAAAAGCGGATGGTTATTCCCCATCCACACCCAAACCCAAATCCTAACCACTAGAGCCCCTCGTCGGATAAGACAGCCCAGCCCTCGGGGAGCCGACCGCCGCCACCCGCCACTGTAACGGAGCAATTTCGGTCGCCAAACGAGGTAAAAATTCTGCCATTTGCTCAGAATTTGATTCTAAACCCACCTATGACCAAATCGGAGCGAAAACACCAGCCAATTGGCTGGAAAATGCTGCCGAAGCTCAACGCCGCCACCGCGAGGTGTTTCAATTTTTGCCTTCGATGAGACCCTTCCCAATTCCCGTTCGATGTGATTTTTCCACCGTTTCCTCCTCTACAGGTTGACCGGAGCAAAATACCCAACTGCAACATGAGCCGGAGGAGCCGCCGCACCCGAGAGCCCCACCGCCAGTGAGTTTCAATTTTCTAGGTTTTTTTCACTCACCGAGGGTCCTAAGTGTGTTTTCTCATAGGAATCGATGTAAGTTTGGCTGAATTCGGCTGAAACAGCCAACCCGAGACAGATCACCGCCGCTCGCAACAGTGCCATCGCCGGAGCACGGCGGAGTCACCGTACTGGAATTTCAAAATTGGCCGAGTAGGCCCTGAGTCTGATTTTTTGGATTATTTGGGACATGTGTAGGTACCGTAAGCGCGTTTCAGTTCCTGAAAAAAAATTCAAAGGACCTAGGGATCGTCCGTAGGCGCAGTGACAATCTAGTTTTCGACGTCGAATTAAGTAAGGACCCCTCACCCTATTTCCTATCATAGATGTGAAGTTTGAATAAATAATAATACTGTATTTTGTACAAATTAAATAGATATGCATAATTAATTATGATTGCTAATGGAGCCCGAACCGGACATTATTATATGTCAATTCCTATTTGATTTATTTACAGTTTAAATGCATTATAGTATCTGGTTTATCTATTCTATAGTTTTAAACGCATGTGTTACTGTCTCACTTGACCACTGTATGATTTTAAGAATTTAAGATATTATTGTATTACCAGGTGCATGTTTATTGTTTATGTGATTATGTTCAACTTGGTAACAGAGACTAAGGAAAAACAAATAAGGTGACAGCTTCACTAGATATCCTGGGAGATGGTGGACGGACCGGGTTCAGAGAGAACCCTACCGTAAACATCGTCTCATACCGAACGGGGTATGAAGACTTGGTCATTTGGCGCTCATACCGGACAGGGTATGGGGACGACCTTGGAATTAAGACTGTTAAAAAGAAGGGTTCACGTGTAGCAGAGATACCCCTATGAATCCCCATGGATATTAGTAGCTGGTGAAAACGAAAAACGGTGAAAATCAGTAATTGTTAATAAATACAGATTTATGATATATTTTATGTTACCGATTATGCATGAAATTGTGATCTGTATGATGTTATGGTCTTTATAAGTTGTTTTCACAGGTTCTCCAATGGTAAAAAAAAAAGGTAAGTGATTTTATTTTAAATGATTGTATTGGTTAAAATTATGCTTCATTGATTGTTTTTGGTTTTTACCAACATTTACTTCTGTGACGGTGATATAGTGTGATGTCTTTACTGGGTTAGTGTAACTCATTTCTTGTTTAACCATTTCAGATTAGGAAGACCTGGTTCCCGAGCCCAATCCACAAGAAGACGACGAGTAGATGCTAAATGTTTTATAGTTTCCTTTATTTTTCTCATTTTTTGTATTTATTTTAGAGAACTTATTCCGTAATATTGTTTAATACTTTTAAATTATTGTGTAAGGGATGTTAACTTTAATATTCTATTTCGCTTCCGCACTCAAATTATTATATGTATTTCCTTTTGAATTTTCGGAACCGTTACAAATATTGTTAATTATTATTTTATTGTCACAATTTCTAACAATTTCTTTTTCTACTATTAATCCTTGTTCATTACCGGTGTTGTAAAACTCATATGTTAGCTGCCACAAATAAGCATAAGTTTTTATCATAAAAAAAAAAAAAAAAAAAAATTGGTGTCCAAAGAGTAAAACATTTGGTTTTAAAGAATTCATGCTTGATATTTAGATCGGAAATAAAAATTACGATTTCAATATGATATTTTATATTTACAAGATTTAATTATTATATATATAGGGCTCTGTCACATTATATTACCGAAATTATAGAACAATATTAAGCTAAAATAGAAGGTTTGTCTTGTATAAATTTTTATGTTTGAAAAAACAAAAGAAATATGATTGGAATTAGTTTGAATAATAGCCTAACTTAACTTATTTTATAGAAGCTCCAATACAATAAAAAATATTTATAAAATACTTGTGAGAATTGTACTTCATAAGTATTTATATACATTTTAAAATAATAGATATAATTATAATTATATTTAAATTTCAATAAATTTTATATAAGTTTTATTTTTTTTATTGGAACAAATTAGGTAACATTATGCACTTAAATAAAACTTTACTAATTCGTAATAGGGTGAAATAACTAGTTACTCAGTTACTAATTTTAATTTAAAATGTGTGTGTGTGTGTGTGTGAGAGAGAGAGAGGGAGAAGGTAATTTTGATTAAAAAGGAAATATAAATTAGGCAAGTAAAAGTAAGCATGTCTCCATTAAACATACTTTTGTAAAGGGTAACTACACTATTACTATTCATTCCCAAAGAAAGTCAAAGACCCTACACCTACTACAGTTTTCTTAGCCTGCCTTAACTTTAAACTCAACTTTAAGGCTACCCTAAACCATGCAAAAAAAAAAACAAAAAGACAAATGCTTAAAATAAACCCTGCTCTCTTCTTTTTTCTCTTCTTTTCTTTTCTTTTCTTTTCTTTTCTCTTCTCTAATATGTATACAAAATTTTGAATATATATCCCCTTTGTAAAACAAAAGTATTTGTGAGGTTTTTAAAACAAGTTTCACTAAAAGTCGGTAAAAATAT